TTTACATCTTGATAAATCTTAAAAACAAGATACCACTGTTTATTTGACTAGAATTTGTTTAGAGTTAGGGAATAGAAAAGGCCTCTTAGTTGTCTTCCATAGTTAGTTTTGCAGCAATGAGTCTAGCCTGGAAGAGCAACATGTAACACAAATGTAGACCCATAAGGTTCAGTTAACTTGATTCTGATCTGTACTGAAGTTTTAAAAATCTCCTATTTGTTTTTTTTATTGCATTTTTACAATTAAACAAATATTTCTCACATCTTATGCATAACTGCGACCAGTTACATACCATAACATTCCAGTACAAATACACACTGTACATTTTTACTATACATTTTAATTCTACTTCTATTTTGTCTATTTCTTTTCATTTTTCTGTTCTCAATCCAGTCGTACCACTTCTCCCATATTGCGTAGTATTCTGAATCTATTTGTCCTTTCAGTTCAACTGTCAATTTGTCCATTTCTGCACAATCAAATATTTTTTTAATTACTAAGCTTTTGGAAGGTATGTTTGTATTTCTCCATCATTGCGCGAAAGCTATCCTTGCTGCGGTTATTATATGTAAAATGATATATATTATTCTTTTGTCGTATTTCCCTGTAACTATCCCTAGGAGAAATAGTTCCAGGGTATATTCTATCTGAAGTCCTGTTAATTCCTGTAACCACCTGTATATTTTCTTCCAGTATTTTTTTGTTTCAGGGCACAACCTAGAACCGTGATGGCGAACCTATGGCATGCATGCCACAGGTGGCACACGTAGCCATATCAGTGGGCATGCCAGCTCAGCTCTGGGGCACATGCGCACGCCAGCCAGCTGATTTTTGGCCCTTCTCGGCCCACCAGAAGTAGGGAAACAGGCTGTTTCTTGCCTCCGGAGGGCCTGGGGTGGGGGGGTGGGAGGCCCATTTTTCTTTCTTACATGGCTCCAGATCCTCTCCATTTATCTGGGAAGGGCAAAAACAGCCTTTCCCACTCCATCGGAGGACCTCCAAAGGCCTGAAACGGCCCATTTCCCAACTGCTGGTGGAACAGGAAGTGACTTTTTTGCTGTCCCCGGCCTCCAGAGACTCCTAGAAAGACTCCTAGAGACTCCTAGAGGGGCTCCTAGAGACTCCTAGAGAGGCTCTGGAGGCTGGGGCCAGCAAAAAATGTCACTTCCTTGTTAAATTTCTAGGATCTAGCCCAATAACTCTCAGTACTTCATCAATAACAGAAATTACTTATTTATTTATTTTTGAGAATATAACTTAACCTACCGTATTTTCCGGCGTATAAAACGACTGGGGGTATAAAACGACTTTTCCTGTTAAAATATAGGGTTTGGGCTATACTCGCCGTATAAGACTACTCCTCTTCCAACGCACACCAAATAAAAATTAAAAAACATCAACTGGCTCACCCACAATGTAAAAGCAGCTGTGCTAGACCCAAAATGGCCCCTGCAACAAGCAGGAACCTCACACAGCCACAAAAAGCCCCAAAAAACAACTTTCACACTTTACACACACAAAATTCCACATACAGCTTTGTGAGATTTTGTGCGTTTGTATAGTTAGAGTGAAATACTACAGAAACACACTAAATCTCAGAAAGCTGCACAAATATTATTTTATTTTATTTTTATTTTTATATGAAAACTAAATTTAAAACTTCCTAAACTTTAAATGGCTAGGTCTAAAAAAGAACAACTAAAAAAAACCCCAATTAACTATTTTTTTTAAAGCTCCCAAAGGAGAAAAAAACTTACCCAATAGAACAGAGGTCTCCAACCTTGGCAACTTTAAGACTTGTAGACTTCAACTCCCAGAATTCCTCAGCCAGCTTTGTTTTGCTGGCTGAGAAATTCTGGGAATTGAAGTCCACAACTCTCTGCCTGCTTGATTGCAGGCAGGGAGTTGCTTGCTGATGGAATGGATTCAGGCAAGCGAAGCAAGGCAAGCGTTGCAACTAGCAGCTAAGATAAGCAAGCTGGAGGGGGAAAACTTTTTTCCTTTTACATGGCTCTGGCGATCCCAGCTGTGTTGCCTGATTACCAGGCAACTCAGCTGGGATCATCAGAGCTTGGATCGCCAGAGCCATGTAAAAGGAAAAACTTTTTTCCTTTTACATGGCTCTGGCGATCCCAGCTGCGTTGCCTGATTAGCAGGCAACGCAGCTGGGATCGTCAGAGCTTGGATCGCCAGAGCCATGTAAAAGAAAAAAATTTTTTCCTTTTACATGGCTCTGGCGATCCCAGCTGAGTTGCCTGATTAGGAGGCAAAGCTGGGATTGTCAGAGCTTGGATCGCCAGAGCCATTTAAGGCTCGTCAGAGCCTTTCGGGCTGGTCTGCCTGGTTACAGGAGAACGACACCTGGCATATAAGACGACCCCCGACTTTTGAGAAGATTTTCATGTGTTAAAAAGTCGTCTTATACGCCGGAAAATACGGCATTCATATACATCTATAACCTTGCTTCTGTATCTCATAGGTATTCATCTAAATCTGAGGGAGAAGTTTTACAGACAAGGACTTATATACTTGGAGGGAGGAGTCAAAGGTAAGGCGGAGTTGGGAATGGGATGGGTTTAAGGGATTTAACCCATGCTAAACCATAGAGTGTAGAATAAATACAAGAGTTAGACATTTTATCTGACATTCCTGTCCCACCGGGAGTTGGGAAATGGCCATTTAAGGCCTTTGGAGGGCCTCCAAGGGAGTGAGAAAGGCTGTTTTCACCCTTCCCAGATAAATAGAGAGGATCTGGAGCCAGGTAAGAAAGAAAAACAGGCCTACCAGGCCATTGCGTGCCAGGAGTGGGGGGGTTTGCATGCGCGTGCGCAGGGCAGGGTGCATAGAATTATCGGTGTGGGCACATGCGCGCGGGACTCTCCCCCGCCCCCTCTCCTGGCACGCGATGGTTAACCATCACTGACCTAGAAGGTACCTTGTTTTTGACCATATTTCCAACAGTTCGGACCTAGATTTGTGTATATCTTCGCTAGTCTAGAGGGTGCCAAGTGCCAGCAATAAAACATTTTATACTGGTTCTCTTTGTACTTTCCCGATTTAGTTATTTTATAATTTCTATTCCAAATTTTCCCCCAATCCTCCAATTCAATATTATGCCCAATGTTTTTTGCCCACACTATCATAACTCCCTTCACTATATCTTCAGCTGTATCAAATTCTAATAAGTAGTTATAAATTTTTGTTATCAATTTTTCATCTGGGCCAATCAATAATTTGTCCAATTGTTGCAGCATCTTCTCAATTCCATACTCAACTTTATCTTTTTTGTACCGTGAAAAATCTCCTATTTGTAAGCAACTTTAAATACATTGGTATTTATATATCATATTATTCTGGATTTTTATATAGTTGCCCACTACTTAGTCAGGTAAATTTGGAAATTAAATTTCTTCATTGGTGCCTTGGAACTATTATTTCAGCATTGACACTAACAAAACATTTTGGCTTCTAGTGCTGCTTGGCTGAGAAAATCATTCCATTGGTTGGCAATCCAATAGCAAGCAAAGAAGAGCAGGATTTTTAGTAATGTTTACCAACCACAAGTTTCTCGTGTTTCTATTTTTTAGCAAATGGTGGGTCATATCTTGCTCTGTTCATGAAAGTAGAGCATGATGGCAAAATCTACATTTATAGAATTGTTTTGGCAGAACAATAAAACTTTGTTGCATCATATGCTTTCCCCCCCATAAGCTTGTATGATGGATGGAAAATTATTTTTGCAGCAAAAGATGTATAGTTACTGTTCTGGAAACTCTTTTGATATATAAAATATTAAGCTATGTAGGAAAAATAAGATTTATAAAATCCATTATCAGCTGAGATTATTTATATGTTTTTGTTGTTGAAAATGTATCACAAATCAGTTGGGATTCTACAAAATCAAATAATTTTCAAAAATATCTTAACTACAAAATGCATACCTTCTAAACTTTGAATCTGAAAAAATAAAGTTTTATGCCAGAGCCCTCATATGTGATTTGCATACCTTGTTGGAGAAAATGTATATCTTATTTCTTATAATTCATTTTAAGAGTCAAGCATTGTCAGTCATAGCCATATTCAAGGCAAATTTTGGATTTGTAAAGATCAGTATGTTTTCCTTAGAAGCACCATTTATCACCCCAATGAGATTGGCCTGTCTTTCCTGTGCCAGCAAGGAAATTCCAGCTGGCAGGGTCCAGGAGAAGAGCCTTTTCTACCAAGGTTCCTGCCCTCTGGAACATTATGATTCCAAGGTGAGATCCCTCCTCCCTTTGGCCTTGCACAGGATAGTCATAAACCTGGCTCTGCCGATTGGTCTCGGGTCCTGATAGGAGACATTCCATATTGGAGCTGATTGGTGGACTGAGAGAGGGTTCTGTCTCCATCCTGTTTGCATTCTGCTTCCTTCTTCAGTCATTTTTGCTAACTTTAATGTTAATGCTTATCATTTTAATAATTTATATTGTTTCTATTTTATTGTAAGCCACCTAGAGTCACCTGATGGTGATCCCCACCTATTTATTTGGATGGCAAATAAATAAAATGTTTGAAGGTCGAAGTCCTCCATCTATTAGCAAAATCAGAAATATTTAATTGGGTAGTATAAAAGAGGATTCTAAGTAGAGGAATACACAATATTTGGTTGATCCTCATATGAATAGGTGGGGATATTGTTTTTAAAATCTCCCCATTTAAAATCTTATTATAGATAGAAAACAATATTTCCAAGGAGAAATGTTAGTCCAATTCTTTGCCGACTATACTGGCTTTCTGTTTGTAAAAAAATTTGAGCATGGAGAAATGAATAGGACCCTGTACTTACAGTCTAAGAAGGTCCAGTTCAATTTATCAAGTTAATGCACAGACACTTCCTTTATAAATAAATTTCAAATTGCTAACTATGATGGAACTTACTTTGTACATAGTAGTATGTAAAAGCACCTGCTGCAATACATTGAATACCCATAAAAACAGCCATTTGCTGAAATTTTCTTAGGGACATATTTTATTTCCTAGGGAGAAAAAAGTTGGAAAACAAATTATTGTGCATGAGAAAAACCAGCCAATTATGTTAATGTTTTTTCAATATTTCCACAAGACTGGCCTGAATAAAAGCCCACATAGCATTCTGTATTGATTCTCTCTGAGAAAATACCAAAGGAAAACTGAACAGGCCAAATTCACTTATAAATTTATTTCAGGGATGTCACTATTTCAATAATTATTGGGGAGAAAATGACATTCCTGTATGGCTAGCAGTCAGAAATATAGCCTGGTATTCCTATGCCTTTGCATATGCATTGAATACATACAGGAAAGCAGGGGGAGGAAGATTTTTCAGACTTTGGAGGAAAGGTTCAATTTATTTCAAAATGAAATGTCACTCATTGAATAGGAATCAACTAGGGCCGTGATGGAGAACCTTTGGCACGCATACCCAAAGTGGTACACGAAGCCATGTCACCTGGCACACATGGCCTTGCCTGTTTGACTTCCAGGTTTCTGGCACTCATGTGCGTGCGCCGATCAGTTGTCCTTTGTGCATGTGGCAGTTCCAAAAACCAACCTGCGCATGCGTGCCGGCCAGCTGATCGTTGGGCACACATGCACGCTAGAACCTGGAAGTTTGGCTTTTCCAAAGCGTGACCCCAACAAGTGCACACATACAATGTTTCCGCGCATAGGCGACATTCACCATCACTGAACTAGGGGAACTCATAGAAGGAAGGGAAAGAAAACCAATGACATCATCATCAAGAAATAGATTGCATAGTTAGCAAGAGGAAACGTTGCCCCATTTTTGAGGCATTTAAGTACAGACAAAAGTAGACAAAATGATATTAGAAGATTTTGCAGTAGGTTTTTGTTCCCGTGTGTTCTTCATTAAACCTGTCTACCTTGCAAAGCAGGTATTTTTGTAACATTGCTGACATTCAGGCAGATGACAAATATCAGAGAAAAAGCAGAAAAGACAGAGTGCTGCTAAAGAAAAGAATTAATTTTCCCCCTTTTTTGATTGTTCACTTATTGTTTATTTATTGCATTTAGTGCAATGCAACATTTATTGCAATGAAGATACTGTATCCCGCTGATGCTTTCAAGAGATAAATATAGCTTGGATGAATATAGTACTTTGGAGATTCACACTTTGGAGATTCCCACTGATAGAATGGTATGAATTTTAAATCATAATAATCATAACAAGGAAGTAAACATAAAAAATAATATGCTTCCTTTTCAATTCTTTGAATGTGGATTTATTCATAAGCACATTGTCACAAGGAAACATTTATAAATAGTAACTACCACAGCACATGTAAGAACATTAGCATATGTATAATCGTATTAATTCGATAAGGACTTGCTTAGACGATATTATCAAAAGATCATTTCTCGAGATGATTAAGAAGCCCTGATTATTCCTAAAAGTGACAACATTGTAGCCACAAACAGGAAAATTTTGTAGAAGAACCTCGATGGTGCAGCGGACTAAAGTGCTGTTAAGTGCTAGCACTTAGCTGCCAGCTGCCCGCAATTAGTGCAAGTTCGAATCTCACCAGGCTCAAGGTTGACTCAGCCTTCCATCCTTTCGAGGTAGGTAAATTGAGGACCCGGATTGTGGGGGCAATAAGCCAACTTTGAACAACACCGCTTAGGGGGGGCCGAAAGCCCTAATAAGCAGGTATATACAAAAAAGTATGCAGGCTATTGCTATAATGCATTGTAAGCCGCCCTGAGTCTACCGAGAAGGACGGCATATAAATTGGACTAATAAATAAATAAATAAATAAAATGTTGGCAGAATGATTACATGCTTTGAAATCTCTTTTTCTTACATCTCTCAGTTAAAACCTGACTTAATCTACTGAGTCAGATTTTAAGTGAATAAAACAGGAGGGAAAGTGCAAATATTTTTGAGAATCCTCAGGAACATGGTCATTCATTCTTTTGCTCCTTCCAAGATGAAGTGATGTAACTTTACACATGCTTTTATACATTAGTAAAGATGCAACAATAATCTCTAAATATAGCTTTATCTTCTTAGGATATTCTAGGAAGAATAGGTTAGGGATAGATTGCCATGGAGAAAATCAATGTGGTTTCTAAGTTAAAAAATTACTTGATGGTGCATAATCAATCAATCAATCATATCTAATGACATTATAGCATACCTTGTCAAGCTCTTTCCAGGACGTTCTTTAATTGACTTGGTTAAGAAGAATTATTCTGGAATTTAAAAATAATTACATACATCAGTATCTTTAAGTTCCTTTAGAATAGGTCCTTTAAAAATGGCATCTTCCTCCTCTCCTAGTAACCAATATTACCCAATTTGGTGTCTTCTAGATGTTTTGAGATTACAACTCTTAGAATTCAAGACTGGCTTTGCAAAAAACTGATACTGCTGAAAAAATATGAATATTTTGCAACGTCCCTTTTTAAAAATGTTTTCGAGATGATGCAGCTTTAGAAGCTGAAAAATAATACCCCAAACTGGCCAAGAAATTGTTCTCTGGGTGTTGAACATTAGCATGAACAGCATGGCCAATGGAGAAAAAATGTACTACAACTTCTAGAAAGTACAATTATCCATCCCTGCTTTAAATTGTGAAAACAACATATACACTGCTCAAAAAAATAAAGGGAACACAAGCAGAAGACATCCGAGATCTGAATGAATAAAATAGCCTTATTAAATATTTTGTTCGTTACATACAGTAGATTTGTGTTCCCTTTAGTTGTTTGAGCAGTGTATAAACTACTGTATGTAAAGAACAAAGTATTTAATACGGCTATTTCATTCTTTCAGATCTCAGATGTCTTCTGCTTGTGTTCCCTTTATTTTTTTGAGCAGTATATAATCTCTATTCTCCTAACTGAGTTTTCCAAGGCCATTTTTCTTTTTTTAATCAGGTCTATCTTCCCCTTTATCTAAGTTCCAGGTGTCTGGGGATAATTGCCTCTTTGGGTGAAAAGAGTTCCAGATGGAACTCCTGAATCAGGAGATTGACCAATGGCTAGACTGATTTACATCATTTAAGGTGCTTTAGTTAACCAACATGAGCAGTGTACTATTAACCAAATTGTAATTTGAGTTAAAAATACATAATTGAATAAATTAAATCCAAAATGTGCAATATAAACAGTTATGTACACCAAAGTGAAACATTCTGAAGAAACACAATCAACAATCAAGTAAAACAAAAGTTAGACAAATATAAGAAATCCACATTAATTTAATTTAATTTAATTTCCAATTTATATACCGCCCTTCTCCCTGAGGACTCAGGGCGGTGTACAGCCAAGATAAAAAACATAGAATACAAATATTAAAAAAACATTTAAAAATATATATAAATTTTGGCCCAAAAGTTAAGAAATCACAGACTGATTAAAAGAATTTAAAAATTTCTAAGCCAACCCGGCTTGCTGGAAAAGATGGGTTTTAAGGGAACGACGGAAGGCATTGAGGTCATGGATTCTCCTTATCTCCGAGGGCAACTGATTCCAGAGGGTGGGAACCCCCACAGAGAAGGCCCTCCCCCTGGGGGTCACCAGCCTACATTGTTTGGCTGATGGCACCCTGAGGAGGCCCTCTCTGTGGGAGCGCACGGGTCGATGGGAGGTCGTCGGTAGCAGCAGGCGGTCTCGCAGATAGCTAGGCCCTATGCCATGGAGCGCTTTAAAGGTGATAACCAACACCTTGAAGCGCACCCGGAAGACCACTGGGAGCCAGTGCAGCTCGTGCAGGAGCGGTGTTACATGGGAGCGCCATGTTGCTCCCGTCACTACCCGCGCTGCTGCATTCTGGACCAGCTGGAGCCTCCGGGTGTTCTTCAAGGGGAGCCCCATGTAGAAAGCACTGCAGTAGTCAAGGCGAGAGGTGACGAGGGCGTGAGTGACTGTGCACAAGGAATCCCGATCGAGAAAGGGCCGCAACTGGCGAATCAGGCGAACCTGATAAAAGGTCCCCCTGGTTACAGCCGTCAGATGTTCCTCCAAAGACAGCTGCCTATCCAGGAGGACTCCCAGATTGCGAGCCCTTTCAGTGGGGGCCAAAGACTCGCTCCCAATAGTCAGTGATGGAGTCAACTGACTATATCGGGATGCCGGGAGCCACAGCCACTTAGTCTTGGAAGGGTTGAGCCTGTTCCTCCCCATCCAGATCCGTACAGCCTCCAGGCACTGGGACATCACTTCAAGGGCATCGTTGGGGTGGCCTGGGGTGGAGATGTACAGCTGGGTGTCATCAGCATACTGATGGTATCTCACCCCAAAGCCACGGATGATCTCTTTTTTTCCCCTTATATCTGATTGCCGTGAGAGGGTGATTGATGTTTACATCTGAGTCCAAAATGGCTTAAGTCTTTCTACTGCTGATGTGAGAGATCAGTGGGACTAAAATGACTTGTACCTCTGATTGATACTCTCTCCACAGGACCCTGGATAACTAGGACATGCCTACCAGCTATAGACTATCTAGCTACAAAATGTACTCATTGGGAGAACTCCTCAAACTGCGAGATGCCCCCCTCTCGCAGGTCTGGCCCTCTTCTTTATCGAGGGCCTATCTCGATGACGGTCTTTGGAGTCCAGAGAGATGGCATACAGCAAAAAAGAGGGTTATGGGGTTTTTTAGGGAAATTTTTAAATAAGATTTTAAGGAATTCTGGGAGGGGGATAGGTTGCGGGGGTTCGGAGGAAGACCCGCGGGGGAGGGTATCTGGGCCAGCCGATGGGCGTGGCATGGGAGGTGCGGACTCAGGGGTCAAGGAGAGGATTAGACCTTACGATACAGATGGCCATAACATCGATACTGTAGGTGGGAGGGGCAGATATGGCGGGAGCAGGGGGCCACATCATCTTGCGGGAGTGCATCCTCGCTGGTTGCAAGCGGTGGCACGCTCCGACCCTCAAAGCTCTTCTCGTTCCCCAGGTTGTACGGAATTTCGGACCCCAGGCCTTCGGCTGATGCTATGCAACGCCAGGTCCGTAGTAAATAAAGCCCCCCTCATTTGTGACCTTATTCAGGAGGGGGGTGCGGACCTGGCGGGTATTACGGAGACCTGGTTGGGCCAGGAAGGGGGAGCCCCCCTTGTTGATATGTGCCCACCAGGTTTCCGTGCTTTCCATCAGCCAAGGTCACAGGGGAGGGGCGGAGGGGTAGCGGTTGTTATTAACGAAGGTCTTGGACCAAGGGAGGCCACTGTTCCTCAGACGGCTGGATGTGAGTCCCTCCTTGTGAAGTGGGGTCATAGGGTGCAGTTGGGCTTGCTAGTCACGTACCTGGCTCCCTGCCACGTGGCAACAGCCCTGCCTGAGCTGCTTGATGTTATAGCCGCGGTGGCAGTTGACACCCCCAGGCTTATGGTCATGGGGGATTTTAACCTGTCATCAGTCGGCGAGACGTCTGAGATGGCTCGGGAGTTCATGGCTTCCATGACGGCTATGGACCTGACCCAGTTAATTTATGGCTCTACTCACATGGGGGGACACACACTGGACCTGGTTTTTGTCTCTGGACAGTGGTCGAGTGATCTAGAGATAGGGGATATAGCGATTGAACCCTTGTCATGGTCAGATCACTCCCTCCTTCGCCTGGACCTCCGAACCGCCACACCCCGCCGCAGGGAGGCGGAACCAACCAGGTGGTTCCGCCCCAGGCGCCTGATGGATCCTGAGAGATTCCAGATGGAGCTTGGGCCATTTCCTGAGGTTCTGGCACACGACTCGGCTGAGGACTTAGTGGCCGCCTGGGATAGGGCGGCTGCTGGAGCTTTAGACCGAGTCGTGCCTTTGCGGCCTCTGACCCGGCGCCGGTCTCACCTGGCTCCTTGGTATACTGAGGAGCTGAGGGAGATGAAGCACCGGAAAAGACGCCTAGAGAGCAGTTGGAGGGCTAGTCGTTCTGAATCCGACCGAACACTGGTAAGATCTCATATTAAGAATTACCTAGTGGCGATAAGAGTAGAGAAGAGTAACTACTTTTCTGCTCTTATTGCGTCATCAGATAATCGCCCAGCCGCCCTGTTTAGGGTGACCCGCTCCCTGCTCCACCAAGGGGCGCAGGAAGATCCCTTGGAGGGTAGAGCTGAGGATTTTGTACAATATCTGTATGACAAAATCGCTCAGATTCGGGAACAGCTGGACTCTGACTGGGTTGATCCAGGGGAGATGACAAGGGCAGGTCCTGAGAATATTATTTGGGAAGAGTTTGATCCTGTGACTCCCGAAAGCGTGGACAGGATACTGAACAGACTAAATGCGACCACATGTTTATTGGACCCGTGTCCCTCCTGGTTGGTACTGGCCTCCCGCGAGGTGACACGAGGCTGGCTCCAGGAGATTATAAATGCTTCTTTGAGTGAGGGTGTCTTTCCCGCCGCCTTGAAAGAGGCGGTGGTGAGGCCCCTCCTCAAGAAGCCCTCCCTAGACCCAGCTGTGTTAGCAAATTATCGTCCTGTCTCCAACCTTCGCTTTGTTGCAAAGGTTGTTGAGAGTGTGGTTGCACGACAACTGCCTCAGTACCTGGATGAATTGAATTATCTAGATCCGTTCCAGTCGGGCTTCAGGCCTGGGTACAGCACAGAGACAGCATTGGTCGCATTGGTTGATGATCTCTGGAGGGCTCGGGACAGGGGTTGCTCCTCTGTCCTGGTCCTATTAGACCTCTCAGCGGCTTTTGATACCATCGATCATGATATCATGCTGCACCGGTTGGAAGGGTTGGGGGTGGGGGGCACTGTTTTACAGTGGTTCTCCTCCTTTCTCTCTGACCGGTCGCAGTCTGTGTTGACAGGGGGGCAGAGGTCGACCCTGAGGCCCCTTATATGTGGGTTGCCACAAGGATCGGTCCTCTCGCCCCTTCTGTTCAACATTTATGTGAAGCCGCTGGGTGAGATCATCTGTGGTTTTGGGGTGAAGTACCATCAGTACGCTGATGACACCCAGCTGTACATCTCCACCCCAGACAACCCCAATGATGCCCTCGAGGTGATGTCCCGATGCCTGGAGGCTGTACGGATCTGGATGGGGAGGAACAGACTCAGGCTTAACCCATCCAAGACCGAATGGCTGTGGTTTCCATCGTCCCGATATAGTCAGTTGGCACCATCTCTGACTATTGGGGGCGAGTCGTTGGCCCCCACAGATGGGGTTCGCAACTTGGGCGCCCTCCTAGACTCGCGGCTGTCTTTAGAACAGCATATGACGGCCGTGGCCAGGAGGACTTTTTATCAGGTTCGCCTGATTCGCCAGTTGCATCCCTTTCTGGATCGGGACTCGTTACGCACGGTCACTCACGCCCTTGTCACCTCACGCCTGGATTATTGTAATGCTCTCTACATGGGGCTCCCCTTGAGAAGCACCCGGAGACTCCAACTGGTCCAGAATGCGGCCGCGCAGGTGGTGACGGGAGCAATGTGGCGCTCTCATGTGACCCCCCTCCTGTGCGAGCTGCACTGGCTCCCGGTGGTCTTCCGGGTGCGCTTCAAGGTTTTGGTTACTACCTTTAGAGCGCTCCATGGCTCAGGACCAGGGTACTTACGAGACCGCCTCCTGCCACCAGTAGCCTCTCACCAACCAGTTCACTCCCATAGGGAGGGGCTCCTCGGGGTGCCGTCAGCCAAACAATGTCGACTGGCGGCCCCCAGGAGGAGAGCCTTCTCTGTGGGGGCACCTGCCATCTGGAACGAGCTCCCCCCGGAGATATGGAGGATCGAAGACCTACGCATCTTCCGCCGCGCCCTAAAAACGTTTTTATTCCAACAGGCTGGTCTGGCCTAACTCTCCCTTTTAAGTTGGCCTTTAAATTGGCTTTAAATTGGGTTTTAAATCTCTTTTAGTTAAATTGGATGTTTTAATCTTTGAACCTAATCCTAAATTATTTAATAGTTTTTAATAGTTTTTAACTTTTGTATGTCTTTGTATTTATTTATGGCTGTTCACCGCCCTGAGTCCCTCGGGAGTAGGGCGGTATACAAATATGAAAAATAAATAAATAAATAAATAAATAAATAAATAAATCTCACCCAGCGGCTTCACATAAATGTCGAACAGAAGGGGCGAGAGGACCGATCCCTGCGGCACTTCACAGATGAGAGGCCTCGAGGTCGACCTCTGCCCCCCTGCCAACACAAACTGCGACCGGTCGGAGAGAAAGGAGGAGAACCACCGCAACACAGTTCCTCCCACCCCCAACTCTTCCAGCCGGTGCAGCATGATACTATGGTCGATGGTATCAAAAGCCGCTGAGAGATCTAATAGGACCAGAACAGAGGAACAACCCCTGTCCCGAGCCCTCCAGAGATCATCCACCAACGCGACCAATGCCGTTTCCGTGCTGTGCCCAGACCTGAAACCGAACTGGAACGGATCTAGATAGGATGTTTCCTCCAGGAATTGCGGAAACTGTTGCGCGACCATAAAAAAACTTATGAAGACAAATAAATATACAAAGCCTGGGCATAAAAGAGGACTCCACAATGGCGTCATCTAAGTATGTCTCTAGTAATCTAAGACACCAGCACTTTGAATGGATTTCTAACTAACCTGGGATAGGCCCATGGCTGTCATGGTAGCCTCTAGAGCCACCTCAGAGCCCATTTCAAGGGAAGGCAGCTTAAAGTGCCACAGAACCACCAGCCAAATCCAGAAATAGAGTGAAAGGAGTTCAAGCAGAGAGGTTGCTGTGCAGCAGGAGGGCTGGAACTACAATAACAATCCTAACTGATCTCTATAGCCCAACTTAATGAACAGGATCACACAACTGGTAATCTGTGATCTGTGAAAATTGTAAGAAATCATGAATTTCCCTCATGAATGACCCTGCATCCTTGTCACAATGCAATAACAATAGCAATAGCATTTAGACTTACATACCACCCATCCCGTGGTGCTTTATATCACTCTCTAAACAGTTTACAAATGTCAGTATATTGCCCCTAACAATCTGGGTCCTCATTTTATCAACTTCAGAAGAATGGAAGGCTGAGTCAGTCTTGAGTCCACCAGGATCAAACTCCTGGCTGTGGGCAGAGTTAGTCTGTAACATTGCATTCTAACCACTGTGCCACCATGGCTCAATTGTAACCCAGTTGGGCAAATTTCGGAAAGGGCAACTCCCCTTTTAGAATCCACACAGGTCTCAGTAATACAGGTAGTCCTCAACTTACGACTACAATTGAGCGCAGAATTTATGTTGCTAAGTGAGTTTTGCCCCATTTCATGACTTTTCTTGCCACATTGTGAAATGCAGTTGTTAAATTAGTAACATTGTAATTGTTAAATTAGTGTTAAGTGAATCTGACTTTCCCATTAACTTTGCTTGTCAGAGGGGCGAAAAGGAGATCATGTGACGCTGGGACACTGCAACTATTATAAATACGAACCAGTTTGTCAAGCATCTGAATGCAAATCACATGACCATGGGGATGCTGCAATGGTCATAAGTGTGAAAAATGTCAAAACTCACATTTTTCAGTGCCATTGCAATTTTGAACGGTCACTAAATGAACTTGTTTATGCCAAGTCTGTCATCTCATTATTGATCAAATCATTGATGACAAAAACCTATTACAGACTGACTTCATATTCAGTAGAAGCAGCTAGTGGCCAGGGCTGCTAAACGTCCACTGACAAAGCATTGGGGCTAAAGTCAGGTAGCTGGAACGTAGAACGGGCGTTGTCTTACCTGAACGCCCCTTCTGGGGACTGGGGAGACTGCGGTCAGGAAAGGGTTACTGCTCCCAATCCAGCGTAGATCGAGTCAGGAATTGCTAAGTTCCTCCTCCTGCTTCTCCCTCCAGCTTTCGGATAAGGGATGTGATGTGATTCCTGACGACGCACCAGCCAACCTGAAATAAAGAAAAACAGAAGTGCCCTGGCCGAGACGGACCGGCGGAAGGGTGGGGCTGACTGCAGTCTCCCCAGTCCCCAGAAGGGGCGTTCAGGTAAGACAACGCCCGTTCTAGGGACACGAGGGAGACTGCGGTCAGGAAAGGGACATGCCAAAGCCCATGAACTACTGGGAGGGACCCGCCTGGGACGTGGAAGCTTGGTCTGCGCAGACCTGTTGGAGAACCCGGCGGCCGAAAGCCACCTCCGCCGAAGCAAAGGAATCAATTTTATAGTGACGAATGAAGGGCGTGGGAGACGCCCAGGTAGCTGCCCGGCATATATCCAGAAGGGAAGCCTGGGTAGCCCAGGCTGCAGAGGTGGCAGCGCTACGTGTGGAATGGGCGGTGATGCGCCCCGGGACAGGAATATCCAAAGCCTCGTAGGCTGAGGCGATAGTGGCGCGAAGCCAACGCCCCACCGTGTGAGAGGAAACCTTGAGGCCCATTGATGCGGGCTGAAAGGAGACGAAAAGCGCTTCCGTCCTGCGGAAGGAGGAAGTCCGCCAGAGATAAATGCGTAGAGCGCGGCGGACATCCAGGGAATGCCAAACACGTTCCCTAGGGTGGGACGGGCGGGGACAAAAATCAGGGAGAACCAGTTCTTGAGTTTGATGAAAGGTGGAATTAACTTTGGGAAGGAAGGTGGGGTCCAAACAGAGGACCACCCTGTCAGGGTGGAAGATGCAGAGGTCAGCCCTCGTGGATAGAGCTGCCAGTTCCGAAATCCGCCTAGTGGATGTGATTGCGATCAAGAAGGACACCTTGTAGGAGAGAAACCTCAATCCTACTGAGTGGATAGGTTCGAAGGGGCTCCGAGTAAGGGCGTCTAGAACTTTAGGAAGGTCCCAGGTGGGGTAGCGGTGTATGGGCGGAGGGCGACTATTTGATGCCCCTTTGAGGAACAGTCGAATAAGGGGATGTTGGGCTAGAGAGTTCCTAGACCCCAAGCAGAGAATAGAAGATAAGGCGGCTACTTGCCTGCGTAAAGTATTTGGAGCAAGACCCGTGTCCAACCCCTTCTGTAAGAAAACGAGTACCTGTTCTGTAGAGGCCCGTTTCGGGTCAATCCCCTGTAGTGTGCACCATCCCGCGAAGGAGCTCCATGTGGCCTGGTAAATTCGTACCGTGGCCGGGCGACGGGCCGCCGAGATGGTGTCGACCACGCTGTCAGGCAGATGACGCTCCGTCAGGAGTTGGCGCTCAACCGCCAGGCGGTTAGCTGCAGCCAAGCGGCATCCGGATGACGGAGCAAACCCTGTTGCAGGATAACGTCGGCGGGAGGAAGGCGCCAAGGAGGACGAATCGATAGTGCCTGAAGATCGGCGAACCAAGGCCGACGGGGCCAGTGGGGCGCGACGAGGATCAGCTCCGCACGTTCCTCCAGAAGTTTCCGGATTACCCTGGACAGGAGGGGAAGGGGGGGAAAGGCATATAGAAGACCCCTGGGCCACTCGCTCAGGAGAGCGTCCGTGGCGTCCGCCATCGGGTCCGGAAACCTGGAGAAGAAGTGGGGAGTTTGACGATTGTCCCTCGTTGCAAACAGGTCCACCACTGGAGTCCCGAAGTGGAGCGTGATTCGGTGAAAGAGATCCGGGTGGAGCCTCCATTCGCCGTGGTCCACCCTGGAGCGGCTCAGCCAGTCGGCCTGGGTGTTGGTCGCTCCGGAGATGTGGGAGGCTCGCAGAGATCGCAGGTTGGCCTCCGCCCAAGCTCCCAAGCGTTCCGCCTCCATCATGAGAAGGCGGGACCGAGTCCCCCCCAGGCGATTGACGTTGGCCTTGGCGGCCACGTTGTCCGTCCGGACAATCACATGTCGGTCTCTGACCGTGCCCTTGAAAACCCGGAGGGCGAGGTGGATGGCTCAGAGCTCCAGCCAATTTATGTTGTAAGCCTTGTCTTCGAAGGTCCATAGGCCCTGGGCCATATGAGATTGAATGTGGGCCCCCCAGCCGAGAAGGCTGGCATCTGTTGTTAGGATGACAGGGTTGGGTTCCCTGAATTCCCTCCCTTTGGATAGGGCCCCGGAAGACCACCAGTGGAGGGACTGAAGGACGGAAGGGTTAAGGTGAACAAGTTGTTTGGAGGCCGAAAGATGGGACTTCTGATACGGGAGAAGAAACCACTGCAGAGCCCTGCAGTGGAGACGGGGCCAAGGCACGATGCCAATGCATGAGACCATCTTTCCAAGGAGGTGAGAAAGGGTCGCCAGGGAGACAGGGGACCCCTCAGCGACAGACCGGGCCAGCGACCGCAAGCTGGTAAGTCGCTCCTCGGAAAGAAAGATCCTGCTCTCGACCGTATCAATGATAGTCCCCAGGTGTTGGATGCGGGTCGTAGGTATCAGATGGCTCTTGGCCCAGTTGATGGAGAAGCCATGAGCCGTCAGGATCTGGAGGGTGGAGTCCAGGTCCTGATGTGCCCGGGCCTCCGAGCTCGAGAGGATGAGGAGATCGTCGAGGTAACATTGGATCCGAATTGGTAGAGCTCGAAGGTGAGCCGCAAGAGCAGCCATCAATTTAGTGAAAACTCGGGGAGCCGAGGATAGGCCGAATGGAAGGGCACGATACTGGTAGTGGCGGCCCGCATAACAAAACCAAAGAAATTTGGTATAAGCCGGATGAATGGGGACATGAAGATAGGCCTCAGTCAGGTCAACTGACGTGAGGAAGTCCCCGACCCTTATACTTTCCAAAATGGAGGAAAGTGACTGCATCTTGAACCGCCGGTAGGCGACCCAGCAGTTCAAAGACTTGAGGTCTAATAGCCCTCCAGCCCCCCGAGGATTTCTGAACGACGAACAGGCGGGAGTAAAAACCCTGTCCGTGCTGCTCCTGAGGAACCGGCTCGATGGCCTGAATGTCAAGGAGATGTTTGATAGCCGAGTCCAGCAGGAGCCGTTTCTGCCGATCCCAGGAAGTAGGGCATCGGAGAAACCTGTCGGGAGGAGTGGAGAGAAATTCTAGGGAGAGGCCCCACCTAACCGTCTCCCGAACCCAAGTGTCCGAAGATGAAGCCTCCCACTGGCTGGCGAAGAGAGCCAGGCAGCCCCCAATGGGAGGATTAGACGTGCAGTTATCGCAATCTGCGGAAGGGCCGCCCGCGGCCCCCACGGGAAAAACGTCTGGGGAATCCCCTCTGGAGCGGGTACCCTTGGCGATCTGGGGGCCGGAAACGAGAGGGAAAGGCTCTGGGAGGCCTACCCCGAGTGAGGGTATTCGAAGGGACGAAAGGAGCGAAAGTGGGGAGCGGGAGGTCGAAGATCTGACCGTCTGGAGACACTGGGAAGGATACGTTTCTTGTCCCTTGTTTCTATCAGCAAAGGTTCCAGGGGTGCCCCGAAGAGGGAGGGGCCCTCGAAGGCAGAAGAGGCAAGGCGCCACTTCGATTTGGCGTCCGCCTGCCAATTGCGGAGCCAGAGCAGGCGGCGGGAGGTGACTGAGGATCCTATGGACTTCGCCGCAAAGCGAGCGGCGTTGAGCGTCGCGTCCGCGGAGAACTCTAGGGCAGCTAAGATCTTATTAAGGTCCTGGTGGGACCTGGTATCCGATACCGGGAGCCTATCCTGCAGTTGCCTGATCCAAAGGATAGATGCCCTATTGAAAAAGGATGAAGCCAGGGCAGATTTAGCTGCCCAGGCTGAGGCCATATGTGATCTTACCAAGGATTGCTCCAATCGTTTATCCTCCGGACGGAGGTTATCTTCAGGTGGCCCATTTACATTAGACGGGGCTGCCAGAGCGGCTACTGGGGGATCAATCACCAGAATTTGAAGGAGTGATGCCAACTCTGGGCCAAATTGTAAAACCGTCTATCTAATTGGTTAGGGTTAGGCCCCGAAGCAGGAGAGGACCATTGCTTCCTAAGGACGTCCCTAAAAAGTTTTGGGCCCGGAATTTCCTCCGTTTCCACCTCCGGGACCTCAAAGAGGGGCAGAGGCGCTCCTGCATCCCCGGTTGACGAGGGATTAACCGAAGGGTTCCCCAGATGGGTGGTTAGTTTAGCCTTATGTAGCAAAGACCTAAAAAGCTGGGGCTTAAAGAGACCTACGAATGAAGGCTGGTCAGGGCCAAGGTCTTCATCATCGGAAAGCTCCCTTTCCCGAGCGTCATCCTCGGGGTAGGATGGATGTTCTGAAGGTGCTATTGAAGCGGCAGCAATATCAGCAGGGGCGTGGCCTTCCTCTAATAAGGAGCCCTCTAAGTCAATGGCTGAGCAGGCCGATCCTGCCACCCAGGAGGATGTATTACATTGTAACTCGGCTTGCACCCCTTTATGGATAGCCACTTGAATGAAGGACAGTAGCTCTGGAGTAATAGAAGGGCCTGAAGGGCCAGGGTCCCCCGCAGGGGCTATTACAGGGGGAATGCCAGAGGGAGTGGACGATGGGGGGGCTTGGTCTTGTGAGGGAGGGTCGGATTGAGGACCGAAAAGGGCCTCGCAAATATCCCCTTGCAATGGTGATGGTAATGTCCCCCTGTCTGGGGACAAATGGGGCAAGGCCGGGGCCTGGACAGCTGAAGGGTCAGGTGGGGTGGCTGTAGAAATCTGGGGGGCCAAAGGCTGAGGAGGCATGGGCCCATGCTGAGCTGTGGTCTCTCTAAGTGAGGCCTCTCTAATGGCCTTCTGGATTGAGCGTTCAATTGCTTGATGCAAACGAAGCTCTTCCTTGGCTTTGGCTGCAGCCTTTTTATCCTCTTTAGAAGAATGAGGTTTCTTAGTCTTTTTAGCTGGCTCAGCTGAAGAGGGACCAGGAGTAGGGTCCTCAGAGGCCTGGCGTTTGGTTGCTTTAGTAGGCCGGGAAGCCATCTTAAAAGCAGGCCTCTAACGGCCACGAGGCAGGAACAAAATGGCGGCCCGTAAGTCTTTTCGCTCCCAGTTGATGTTTCAGAGGGAGAGCGAAGCCTCTTTTAATGGTTTTTCCCCTTTTTGTCTAGTTAGGAGGCAATAGAATAAGGAGGGAGAGGGGAAGAAGGAATGGCGCCAAAGCAAAGCCTGAAACGGCGCTAATGAGCGTTATACAATACCGCCAGCCTCTTCGCTGATATCTCTCCGATCTGGGGCCGATAAGGACCGCAGCGCCGGGCGAGGGTGTTTTCCAACGGCGGCGGGTCAAGGAGAAGCCGGAAGAGCCTCAATCCCCCAGAGTCATCAATAAACAGCAGAATGAGCTGCCGGGAGGTGCCTTCGGGAGCGGGGAGAAGCCCCGCTCTCCGGAACGTAAATGCCCTTTTTAAATTGCTGTCAGATAATTAGGAACCATCAACTCCATGAGGAGGTCCTCTTCGGCGGTATTGGGCGTTAACCGCTCTCACCGGCACAGGGAGAGGCACGGATGGAAGCCTCAATCCCTGGGACCGCAAGCGGTCGCAGCAGAGGAGGAACAAAGTCCCCCCCACCCGCTGTCTGCACCTCCTAATTTAAATTTAAATTCAATTTAGGGTGAGATATCCTAAGGGCAGATAGAAATGACTCAATTATTATGGAGAATTTGCCTTAAGGCAGAGAGAATGGCTAAATGCGTCCGATCCAGCACAGATCGAGTCAGAAAGCTGGAGGGAGAAGCAGGAGGAGGAGCTTAGCAATTCCTGACTCGATCTACGCTGGATTGGGAGCAGTAACCCTTTCCTGACCGCAGTCTCCCTCGTGTCCCTAGAACGGTTATGAGACACAGTTCTGCAATTCCCGAAGATGGCCTGTTTTTGTTGCTCACTATATCTCCCCTTGCCCAACACCACTTAATTTTATGGCCTGCTCTCCCACCAATGTCAGTCCCATCCCCAGAACGAAGACCCAGAATTTGGAACCTCCCAATATTCTTATCAGAAAATTCTACGATGGGAAGCCAGGCGCCTTGAGGTTTATCAGCTCTCAGTGCCCACAGGGTATTCAATTGCCATCTCCCTACACATTACAAAATGTAGACACACATTACAAATATTACAACTCTTTCATACACATAAACACATAGTTTCTCTTCCTTGCCACACCCACCAGGTGCTAAAGACTCCCCCCCCCCAATTCACTCACCAGCAGTTCCTTCCCAAAGCCACTCTCCTTTGCTAAGATTGAGTTTCAACCTTTTCTTTTCAATCTAAACCCAAAAAGCAGCAGGCATCTTTTTGACTGCATCCTTTCTTCAGTAAGGGGTCAATATGTAAACTTGGGTATCATCACTGACGATCCTACACCAATTTATGATATCTTACTAGGTCTCATGATAAAAGGATCAGGGAGATGCCTCTTCTTTCTCTATGTTTGCCTCAAATCTGAATGGGGCAAAACGAGCCCTCCTGGTGCCAGTTCTAAATGTTTGAACTAATGGCTCCTGATTCCCTTTAACCAAAGTGGCTTTGCTCAAATGTATTTAGAATGCACATCTTAATAAACTCCAATGTTAAAATAAAACAATAAAAAAAGAAATTCTGTTTTAATAAGTACAACAAAGAACCCCAGGAATAACTAAAACATATAATAAAGCCCCACATTAATAAACAGCAATCCATAATCAACTGAAAAACAGACCACTGTATGCATAAACTGATGTATGAAAATGTGTATTTCTAAGTCCTTTTGAAGACTTAGGATGTAATGCATTCAGAGCACCAATTTCAGGCTACCTACTCCATGACAGTAAAAAACAATCTGCTGATACTCTGTTCGGGAATGAGAAATGAGGAAAGGAAACTGAATGTTCCAGAGCCAGATTATTTTGTACACCTCCACCAAGTAAAACTTTTACTCATATGACAGACTGGATAAGAACTAAGGCTGAAAGAAGCAATTTTTTAAAATTATTTTGTGATATATGCCTGAGCATATATCAGAGCAGGTCTGAGCAGCTCTAAGCATATTCTTCACCAGGCAAGATCATATTTGTACACACATTTGAATTTTTATCCAACGTTTCCACTACCATTCTTAAGGCACTGCATAAGACCATTGTTAAAAGTAAGCAGTATAAGTAATCAGAGTCATTTTTACTGAGCTCCAAACACATGCTGCTCTTCTTGCCAACAAGGTGAACAGCACCATAGCCACTGAAGTTTCAGCAAAAGTTTTCAATAGGACCCAGAATAATTTCACATTTCTTTCACAAGTCACTATTACTTCTATTTCATGATGAAATAGCACAAAACTCAGAAACCACTCAACAGATTTACCCTGAAACTACACCATATAAATATTATGCAAGAAATTATATAATAATAACAACAACAATAATAACAACAACAACTTTATTATTGTATGGATATACACAGTATACCCATACAATAAAATTCACTTAACACCCAAAGACCAGGTCCAACACACATAACAATCCCCAAACACACTCCCACCCACCAAAATTCCCCACCCCTAAACCACCCAAACATCCACACAACAGACCAAGTAAGGCTGTCCAACAGCTCACTGATGGTGGCCCTTTAGTTCATTGTTGAATGCAATGTACATTTCCACCCCAGACCATCCCAACGATGCCTTGGAAGTGATGTCCCAGTGCCTGGAGGATGTGCGGGTCTGGATGGGGAGAAACAGGCTTCGACTCGACCCTTCCAAGACCAAGTGGTTGTGGCTGCCGGCGTCCCGGTATAGCCAGCTGATGCCATCGCTGGTTATTGGGGGCGAATCATTGGCCCCCAAGGAGAGGGCCAGCAACTTGGGTGTCCTCCTGGACGCACGGCTGTCTTTAGAAGGGCACATGACGGCCGTGGCCAGGGAGGCTTTTTATCAGGTTCGCCTGATACGCCAGTTGCGCCCCTTTCTGAACCGGGACTACGGAGTGATCTACGCACGGTCACTCAAGCACTCGTCACCTCTCGTCTGGACTATTGTAACACTCTCTACATGGGGCTCCCCTTGGGGTACACCCGGAGGCTCCAACTGGTGCAGAATGCGGCCATGCGGGGGATTATGGGAGCGACGGGGCGCTCCCATGTGACTCCTCTCCTGCACGAGCTGCATTGGCTTCCGGTGGACTTCCGGGTGCGCTTCAAGGTGTTGGTGATCACCTTTAAAGCGCTCCATGGCTTAGGGCCGGGGTACTTACGGGACCGCCTTCTGCCACCAATAGGCTCCCACCGGCCGGTTCGCTCCCACAGAGAGGGCCTCCTCAGGGTGCCGTCGGCCAGACAATGCCGGCTGGCGACCCCCAGGAGGAGAGCCTTCTCTGTGGTGGCACCTACCCTTTGGAACAATCTACCCCCAGAGATACAAGTGATCTCCGACCTCCGGACTTTTCGTCGGGCCCTAAAAACTTACTTTTTTCAGTTAGACAGTCTGTCTTGATTTTAGGGTTGGTTTTAAAATTTTGATACGGATTTTAAATTGACAAGTTTTAAATTACGGGCCAAATTTATTTAATTATTTTAAATCTATTTTTAATTGTAATGTTATGTATAAATGTTTTTATTTTGGCTGTTCACCGCCCTGAGTCCGAAAGGAGAAGGGCGGTATAGAAGTTTGAATAATAATTAAATAAATAAATAAATAAATAAATAAATAAATAAATAAATAAATAAATTATAGCTCTGGGATAAAAGCTATTCAGAAAACATGTGATCCAAGTTTTAATTGTTCTGTATCTTCTGCCAGAAGGCAACAGTCTAAAAAGATTGTAAGCAGGATGGGAAGAATCTCTGAAAATGTTATGCAATTTCCTCAAACAGCTCAGACAGATTTGAACATGTCGTCAAGGGCTGGTAGCTGGAGCCTGATGAAATTCTGGGCAGTTTTAATGATTCTCTGTAAAGCACTTTTGTCTGCTACAGAGCTGCTCCCATACCATGCAAGAATGCCGTATGTCAGGACACTCTAAATGGTGCTGCGATAGTAGGACAGAAGTAGATGCTGAGATAGATTTATCTTCCTGAGCATTCTCAGGAAGTACAGCCTCTTCTGTGCCTTCCTCACAAGCATGTTAGCATTCGTAGTCCATGAGAGGTCCTTCGAGATATAAATGCCCAGAAATTTAAAACTACCCACCTTCTCCACCTCCTCACCATTTATGTAAATGGTAAATGTACATCTCTCTTCCTCCTGAAGTCAATTATAAGTTCTTTAGTTTTTTTGGTGTTAAGTGTAAGATTATTTTCTTTATACCACAATGTCAGCCCTTGTACTTCCTTTCTATAAGCAGACTTATTGTTCTTATTAATGAGCCCCACCACTGTCGTGTCATCCGCAAATTTAATAATTGTGTTGATGTTATACAGTGGGGTGCAATCTTGTGTTTACAAGGAATAAAGGAAAGGGCTTAGCACACAACCCTGGGAGGCTCCTGTGCTTAGTATCAGAGTAGAGGAATGGTGAGATCCCATCCTTACTGACTGTGGCCTATCTTTCAGATAATCCTTAATCCACAAACAAATCCTCTGATTTATACCCAAATTGGACATTTTAAGAAAAAACCTGTTGGGTAAAATGGTATTGAAGGCAGAGCTATAATCCACAAATAACAGCCTCACATATGTTCCCTGTTGTTCCAAATGATTCAATACAGTATGGACAACAATAGATAAATAAATAAAACAATAAAATAAATAAATAAATAAAATTAAACAGATATATGTAAAAGGAGTGTTGAAATGTACTTGTACTCACTTATTTTCAGTACAAAAAGTGAAATATATTATTTATGTATTATTTATGCCAGAGTGCAAATGCATCTGATTTTCTGATACAGAGAAATGCATAGCACATATGGAAAAGAAATGGCCTTAATGTGCATAAATCTTATCTGATTATTTGATCTACAATACATTACGGCAGCGCCCAGTCCCAGTAGCAACATTGGCTGATCTGGAAATACTAACAGATTGGATGAAGAAATCTCAGTGGCAAGATTCACACATAGTGCTAAGCGATAACAACAATTTGCTTCAATTGTGAGAAATGGCAAGCCTATGGCATGCAGAGCCCTCTCTGCTGGCACGCGCGCCATCACCCAGATCAGATCTCCATGGCGTTTCTTTCGTGAGTTTCTGTTTCCCCGCAAATGACAAAAGGTGCGCACACTTTTCAGTTTGGGCATGCATGTGCGCAGTTTGGGCACTCAGTGTCTAAAAGGTTCACCATCACTGACCTAGCCCTTGCCATTTATGGTTTAGGATTCCATGTATTGTATGAACCTAGCCAATTATGCCCCATTAACAAATTATAGTTGAATAATCCATGTTTAGCACACTCTGCAAACCTAATCAGTGGCTGACTAAGTCTCATTCAGTAAATGTCACAGTTGTAGAAGTATTAGCCCAATATTCTAACCAGGACTGACACATACAGACATAATTTCTAATTCATGTATTAATTGATAAAAACAATTGCGATT